CCCCGCCCCCGCTGCCAGCCAACCCCGGCCCCGCACCCCGCTGGGCCCCGCCCCCGGCCCCACGCCCGCACTACCCCGGGCTCACGAGGGGGAGGTGTAGCGCCGGGGGGGGCCCGAGGTCGGGCCAAAACTGCAATATTGCAGTTTGGCCCAGGGGGTGCAGGTTGTGGCTGCGCACCCCCTTGTTTTTTTTTTTTTTTTTCGTCGGGGCTAGGGGKGCCGACCCCCGGCCCCCAGGACCCCCGTCGGGGCCCCGGGGCCGGGGCTCGACAACCCTGACCACAGCCCCTGTCCTCAAGATTGTTGATCCCTCTCGACACTTCTATGTTACCACCGATGCCTCAGACTTTGCTATTGGAGCCATCCTATCCCAACACTTCCCCCACGGCATCACAGACCCCCCCTCCATCAAGGACTCCCCCACCCACTCCGAGGCTCCACCCGGCGAGTATCCTGTCGCATTTGCGAGCAAGAAGCTTATCTCGACGAAGATTAACTATCCCTCCAATGAGAAGGAACTCCTCGCCGTCATCCATGCCCTCAAAGTCTGGCGCCCATACCTCGACGGTCAACACTTCACTATCCGCACCGACAACACGATCGTCTCAAACATACTCACCAAGAAAGATATTACAACCCGCCAAGCTCGATGGTTAGACTTTCTCGCCCAGTTTACATTTACCATTTGTCACACCCCCGACAAAAGCAACCGTGTCACTGATGCCCTCTCTCGACGACCTGGTTCACAAGCCCCCTAAGAAAGTCTACGCTATCATGACTCATGTTCAGCTCCTACCTTCACTCCACCACCGCTGTACTCGAGGGTATTCTTCATGCCCCGATTTCTTTACCATTTACAACAAGCTTCGCAACCTCGACACCGTCCCCGACTCCCTCCACGACAACCTCTTGTACATTAACACTAAAGTCACTCGCCGACTCTGTATCCCTGACGCACTTGTCTTCGTACCGAACTCTTGGGCGAACACCACAACGTCAAGACCGCAGGACACCTTGGTTTTCAGAAGACATTCAACATCGTCTCTCGCTACTTCTATTGACCCTCACTCCTCGCCGATGTCAAAGCATACATCCGATCATGCCCCACTTGTCAAGCAGTCAACCCCTCAAACCAGGCTAAGCATGACAAGCTCTAGTCATTGCCTATCCCCACCCATAGGTGGCAGTCCATCTTTATGGATTTCGTGTGTGGTCTCCCCAAGACCGACCGTGGCGATGACTGCATCTACGTCATTGTCAGCCGCTTGAACAAGCGGAGCCATTTCATCCCTTGCACCACTTCTCACAACGCCAAAGACGTGGCCACACTCTTCTTCGATCATGTCGCACGCCATCATGGTCCCCCCAAAAACATCATCAGCGACCGTGATCCTCGCTTCCTTTCCCAATTCTGGAAAAACCTGTTCAAAGCCTACGACACCACTCTCAAGTACAACACGGCATTCCATCCCCAGACCGATGGCCAGACCAACAATACTCTCCAAAAGATCTTGTGGAAGTATTGTTATCCAAACCAACACGACTGGGATCAGTTGCTCACCGCCGCCGAGATTGCCTACAACAACACTGTCTGCCCTTCCACTGGCATCTCCCCATACTACCTTGACCTTGGCTACCATCCCCGCTTGCCCTCAGACTTCTTGCTCCCCTCGCAGCTCAACCCATCCACTTCCTGTCCTTCTCTCACTGAATGGGTTGCAACCATGAACTGCCTCCTCAGAGAAGCCAATGACGTCCTTGAAAGAACCCAACAACAACAAGCCAACAAGACCAAAAAGCACAAACGAGATATCGCATTCAAAGTAGGGGACAAAGTCTGGCTCTCCGCCAAATGCTTTGAACCCAAACACGGCTTGTTCAAGAAACTCTCAAACAAGTGGCTCCCCCATCATTGAACAAACATCCCCTGTAAATTACAAACTCCAACTACCCCCTGACATAAGCTGTGTTCACCCTGTCTTCCATGTTGAGTACTTGAAAGAATACCATGCATCACCTCCACAATTTGCCGACCGCCCATATCCGAGACCCCCACCAATCATGCTACCTACCGGGCCAGAATTTATGGTAGAATCTATCATAGGACAAAGAACAACTCAAGTATCCGAGCACCCGGAACCAATCACTGAATACAAAGTCAAATGGACCGGATACCCAGATGAAGAATTTACATGGGAACCCCTCGACAATCTCAAGAACGCCATGAAACTTGTTCGCGCCTATGATCGTGCTCACCCTGTACCCTAGCTATATTCTACGTATAACACCCATATACCCTGCATAAACCCTGCCTCATTGCTCTACACACACCCCCTGCACCCAGCAAAACCCCTGCCCCTCGACCTCTCTCTGTCTGATCCGCTCTTGCCTCTGTCTCGTCCCCCAATCTGTCCTCTGCCACATCCTTTGCCTCTCTTGTCCAAGCCTTACCTGTGGCTCATGCGCATCGCCAGTGATAAAGGATCTAATGGCAAGCGCATGAGGACGATGGCCTACTGCAGCAGAGTTCGAGGAGATTAAGCAGCTGGTTGGCCACCATGCTGTCCAATTGGCCGGCACCTAGACTTGCAGACTTCTGGAGCAGCACTCTTGACATGGACATCAGGATCAGTCTGAAACCTGCTATCTGGATCAGACTTCATCATCAGGATCGTGTACAGGATGCACCCTGGCACTTGGACCTTCATCTATTGGAATGCCACATTACTTCTTTCAAGCTGGAACCCTCGCTACTACACGTCGCAAGCCTCCTAAATACTTTGTACCTGGACTTACTTCAAGACCTGCGTCAAGACTCTCAGCCAGATCATTTTGCAGAACCTGCAATTTTCCCCCCAACCCCATTCACTTCGAGATCCTCAGAAACCCCAACCCCCGAACACTGCAAATCATTTTCCTTTCTTTATTTTTGCTCACAGAACCCTGTCGCCCAATAGTTCATCAGTACGGCAAACCCTGTTCCCCCCTCAGATCATAACCCTGTAGTCCATCAGTAGGACAACCCTGTTCCCCTGCAGTTCCTAACCCTGTAGTTCATTAGTAGGCAAACTCTGTTCCCTCTCAGTAGTCCATCAGTACGCATAACCCATAGCTTCCCCAAGCCCTTGTTACCCACATTATACCCCTCTCCCTTTTTTTTCCTGCTTCCCAGTGATCGGCCCCGTCCCGTCCTTCACAGGATTCAGCATTATTTTCATGACTTTTGGCAGCCAGGACGTTGCGTTCTAGAGGGAGGGGATAGTGTTACGGACTCCGCCAGGGCTCGATCCCTGGTCTGCGGGTTACCACCCGCCAGCTTGCTGTATTTATTCTTTTAATTTTTTTTTCATTTTTACAATTTTCTTGTTTTATTTTGTTTTTTCTCTTCTGATCTCAGACAGTTGGCGCCATCTGCATTCTGCGCCCGTTTTCAAAATCCTTCTTTTGGGACTTCCGGATTTTGGACACTTGGCGCCATCCAACATTCTGGCGCCCACTATCAGACTTTCGCTTTTCAGTTCTGGCCCTGAGGCATTTTCACTTTCGCCCTCAGGACTGTACTTGAGTCCGGTACTTATGTACGGACTCAAGCCCAGTATGGGCACCAAGTTTTCAGCCTCAGTGCTTGTGTTCAGTGCGACTTTGCTTCGACATTGTGTTCGGGAATTCAAGACTGCGACTTTGCGACTTTTGCCACTTTGTGTCTGCGTCCATCGAGTCGTTTCGAGTCTGCGTCGAGTTGAGTGAGTGTGTGTGTGCTCTCACTCTCCCTCTCTCTCCCAGCCTCGCTGCTCTGCCTCTGCCTCGTCACAGGTACCCCCACATACGAAAAATGGCAAAAGTAGGCCTCAGACGAATATGCAGGCCCACCTTTGCTTAGGGCGGGCATAAGGCTTGCTGGGGGCCTAAGCCCAGAGCATCTGTGTGCCCGAGAAGGACCTTGCGAGGGCTCAATCCTCGCAATTCATTGATGTTTGTTTTTCAAGCAATCCTAATTGCCCCTCACCATTCCTCTCCCGTGTATTCCAGCTCAGTATATTCCTATGCTCCCCTCCTGCACAAACATCTTGATTACCCACTTCCATGAGTTCCCTCATCTCAAGGCCTGCACGATTCCGCAGAACGGATTCTTTCTGCTTTGCCGCATTCTTCGTGTTCAAATAAGATTGCCTGATTGACGGAGACGGAGTGCGCTGGTCCTTCTGGTTTTCTACTATGTTTTTTCAACTTTTTTGAAAATTTTCAACCTTTTGAACTTGGTTCAGTGGTGGTCGATGGGTCCTATGTTCTTACTCCAGCATCGGTTTGATTTGGCATTCATGATCTTTCAGGGCTGGAGACAGTGATCCTTCCATACAGGCAAGCCCTTATACGGCTGCAGGAGAGTCAGCAGGAGCGGCGGGATGACCTCGACAGAGATATGGATGGGTTGCAACGGAAGATAGTGCTTGCTGCACAATGTACAGGTCAAACTCCAGTAGAGGATTCTTTTCTCTCTGTTGTCTGGACTCGCATCTTCAACGGCAAACAGCCGGCCAGAAAACCATCTGTGTGATCCACGCCATCTGTGTTTCACCATACATGTGGCATGAACTTTGTTCATAACCAACTACCTCCCTCCTGTCTTAAAAAGCTCCACTCTTCTCCTCCTCCTACCTGCTCAGCTGAAAATCCAATTAGCATCAGAATTAGACTGTGGAAGCCATGCCCTTTACCATTGGAATCTGAAATGTAGAAGCATATATGTGGAAACTTTGAGCCAAGAAATATGCACCTTGGAGAGTATAGGTTCCGTTCGACGTCCTCCTGTTCTCCAATTATTTTCTCAGCTTTTCTGTCAATTGGATCACAGAGGGGTCGTTGCTCTTCGGCTTGAGCTATGTGCCAGATTCAGACGGAGTGGCAGACTTCTCTTCAGCCATGACACACCATCTGAATCTGGCTCACATAAGCGCCAGATTCAGAACGGCCTTTGTGAGTATGGTATGGGACAATCGTTTTCTCTCCAACAGGTAGGGTGTGTGGTCATCATCTCTGCATCTGTCCTGAATATTGGCCCGAAAACCGGTACAATAATGTCGCATCTTAAAGGTCACGCCGGAAAGGTCATGCGGGTATTCTATGCGGTGGAAGACTGTGGCGGCAAGGTTCTGCCTGAAAGCAGCATAGGAAAATCAAGGAAAAATTGGATGATTTGATCAAGCAAGAGGCAAGGTTGCCTCCCCGGAAAGAAAAAAAAAAGAGAGGAAGAAAGAAGGCAAGGTTGCCATTGTGCGCCGGTGTGATTCTGTGTCATACGTCCTCATGGCCGGCACGGAAATGAAGTGGCCATACAAATGGACGGTAATCTACTCCTCATTGGCCATATGATCCATATCTGATCTGAGTGCTTGAGGCCTGTTAGTGCCCTGCTGTGCACTGTCATGTCCTTGCCAGTCTTCCGCTAGCTTGTTTGTCATGTCGTTAGGTTTTGTAACTTTTGTATCCTTGCCTGTTAGTGCTCTGTTACGAGATGTCATGTCGTTAGGTTTTGTATCCTTGCCAGTCCTCCCTTAGTGTGTTTGTCAATGCAGCAGTTAGGTTTTGTATCCTTGCCAGTCCTCCGTTAGTGTGTTCGTCAATGCAGCAGTTACGTTTTGTATCCTTGCCAGTCCTTCTTAGTGTGTTGGTCAATGCAGCAGTCTGCATACTGACTGACCTGGACGCCAACGATGAGTTATCAATGCCATCACCCTTGCCCCCCGGTTCATCTCCCTGGACTCTGCCACCTTCCCCGCCACCATCAAGCCCATAGTCAGCACCTCGATTAGACTCGACACCTGGATTTCAGTGTGATTAACCCCATGACAGTGAAAATCTGCCGTAAATAGGTTATCTGAAGTAGAAGTTACCACCTGTTTTCTGTCTTTTCTGTGTGCAGACAAGGAGCGCTGTCGGCTTTCCTCTGTGGAATACCTGTGTTCCATCTTTTCCCTTTTTAGAACTTCGCAGATGAAGGGAGTGACTGGCTTTCCTCTGTAGCACCCAACCCTTGCCTTCCCCCACTGCCAAGCTCCTTGTGTCGCTGAGCGTGTGTAATACTGTGTATAGCGGCTTAGCCAAAAGATCTTTGGAGATGAGGAGGTTTGTGAATTATGCCCGACTATATTCTTTGTTTTGCTCCCATTTTATTTGCATTGTATTTCCATTTCCGGCAGTCGTGACATGTAGTTACTTCAGAGGGTAATAGAAGTTCTCGATCGAGTTTCTTCGAGCTCGCTTGCACATAAGCAAGCCCTGTCATGGTGTGAGAAGGTTTGCAGTCGCGAACAAAGGTTTGGTGCTGGAGATGATAGTCTATTTTTGGTTGCGGATTAGGGTGTGCTGTGGAGAAGGCGATGTTTGGTGCGAGGTTTACTGTTGAAGGCGAATGTACAGCGTTGAGGGTGATGATTGTGCATGTGTATGCCAGTTTGTTTGTGCGTCCCTGTATGTGGGCATTGCAAAAATATTCCCCACCACAGTGGTACACCAGGCCCTGGTCATGTCCAAACTAACGCTCTCTGTGGCCACTTTACTTCTCTGAAGCTACCTTGTACATCCGTGGCTTACCATGACCAGCTTTCCAGAGTCCCACATAGGATTGAGGGCATGGGGGAGGCGGGAGGGCAGACCACACGCAAACCGACCAAACAGGCAAACCAAGAAAAACGAGTCCCAAAAAGACGCCAGGATCAGGAGGTGAACAATAGGCTGGAGGGCACAGGGGAGGCGGGGAGGGCAGACGACATGCAAACACACCAAGCAGGCAAACCAGCAAAAAAATACGAGTCCCAAAAAAATCGAAAGACCGGAAAAAGTAAAAGTTGATGATGACATATTGTTTTGTCGGAGTTGCACTGACTCATCAGGAGGCTGAACCCTCGACAATCTGCGGAATGCCCATATCGATGGTTTGGGTCATGAACCCTTCGACCCATGTTGAAGGCAGACTGTTCCCAAGCAGGACATAGCAGCGGGCAGCAACTCAGTGAAGCACCAGGCGACGCTGTCGCTGCACAACTGCTTATCGCCAAAGACGACTGCCAAGGAACGACAGGGCAAGCGGACAAGCAGCTCGGCAACCGTGCAGTGAAGCGCAAGGGGACACCAACAAGGCAATCAGACCACAAGGCACACAAGCAAAGGACACGGAAAGGCGACAAGGCAAGCGGACAAGCAGCTCAGCAACCGTGCAGTGAAGCGCAGGGGGACACCAACAAGGCAATCAGACCACAAGGCACGCAAGCAAAGGACACGAAAGGGCGACAGGGCAAGCGGACGAGCAGCTCGGCAACCGTGCAGTGAAGCGCAAGGCAATATCAACAAGGCAACCAAACCACGAGGCACGCAAGCAAAAGACACGGAAGGCATGACCTGCTGCAAGTGTGAGGATCTGAGTCCTTGGCATGCCCGTAAGGGGCCCTTGCAGCAAGCCTTGAGCCTGCCCTAAGTGAAGGCGGGCCCACTCCATCCCACGGAGGCCTGAATATTGCAAAATTGCAGGCCTTGGTGGGTGCCAGGCAGTTACCACATGCCAGTTGGTTACATACGCCCTGCTTGCGAGCATCAGAATCTTCAGTGAGCCTTCTAGGCTCTACTCTTCTCTACGCGGAAGCAGGCCATTCGGCCTATCAGAAAGCAGGGAACACCTCACTGGGCGCCGGGTGGTTGGGCGCATATGCCCTGCTTGCGAGCATCAGAATCTTCAGTGAGCCTTCTAGGCTCTTCTCTTCTCGACGTGGAAGCAGGCCATTCGGCCTATCAGAAAGCAGGGAACACCTCACTGGGCGCCGGGTGGTTGGGCACTAACTGCTGCGGGCCCAGGCCACTGTATGAACGGGCCTGGGCACAGACACTTTGGCCCACCTTGAAGCTAGAGGCAACACATCTCAGTCCCTGCATGATTCGGACAAGCAATTCATTCAGGAATGCCCAGCAACACATTCAGACGCAGCAGCAACTCATTCCACAGATCGGTTACGCCAACTACTAACCATAGATCCGCAGTGGGCCACAAACACATTGCAGGACGAAGGTTTCAAGACATGCACTGCCCTTGCGTTGCACGACCCCCCTTTCGGCTCCCGGCTGATCTGAATTGACAAAACAACCAATCTCACGCGCTCATGGCCAAACATACTTGACAAATTGACAGAAGACATATCGGCAATTTCATGCTATTCGATTTTACTACAATCAGAAGAAAGTTGAGCCAAGCGAACACATTTGGCCTGATTTCTTGCTCGCCCCAGGGGCCCTCGAGCGTAGGGCGATTCCTTATGAACAAAGAAGTCATTCAGACAATGGTGATCTTCAGGAGTCCCGGGACCTGATTGAGGCACTTATTCACCATGAATATTTGACTCTACCACTTGCTACTATTCGCTATGTTAGCGGGGATATCCCTCACTTGCTCTTTGATTATGTTCCATTTGAATTCTATAGATATTCCAGCCTTCCAGGTTAAAAGAAGTGGCTGATCGACTCCCGATTGAGAAAAGACTGAAGGAAGCGTATCTGAGAGCATGCAGCTAGGATTGTCCCATAGCTACCTATCAAGAGCCAAAACACTGGGTCCTCCACATACTACATAAAACTACGCACTGAGCAGATGAGGAAGAACAAAAGCTCTCCGCTTTCACTGCAGTCCCTACTGCCATCCGACACTACTACTACATATATTGTCACCACATCTCTACCGCACTCCCTTGTTATAAACAGCTAACACCATCCCAGCAATCACAACCATGGTTTACCCCACTGTCTGCTATTGGTCTAGCTGCTGCTCTCTCGACTCTTTCAACCATTGATGCTAATTACAGGTTGCAGAAGATAAGTGCAGTCATGGCAAGCAACAACGACAAAACAAGCGAATGGAGTGCTCTTAAGGCCACACCGTTTGTCAACTACAATTGCCAGGGGTACAAGGACATTCAAGGACATTCCCAACTTTGAGGACTACAAGACAGCAGCTGCATCACATATTGCTCTTCAGCAACAATTTTTTGGCAGTTGCACCATGATGTAAATCACATGTTGTCAGACATCATCCACAATGTTCTAGCAGATCGCCAAGACTTGAGAGAGACTCAGGTGGAATTCGATATGGGAACTTTTCTGAATAAGTCATTTCTCAGATGGAATTCGATACAGTTTTGAAATGTGTTTTTTTTGAAATTTTTTCACCTTTGTTTTCAACTAACTTCACAAGTCGGACTGTCATGAACTAACAAAATCTGGCATGATTTCAACCTTCTTCTCATCGTCCAATTGTTACGACACATCATCTCCATCAGGTGAGCCTCAAAATCACACATACAACTTTCATTCCCTTTTGGCCATTGTCTCCTTTCCAAAGCCGACTTTCTTTACATACCACCCTTTAAATCCCCAGTCACATGTAGTTGCGCACTCAATTACTTTGGTCATCTAATTGATCTCCATATGAGTTTCTGTTTGTATTTCTGCTTCTAAAAAATGATCGGTGTATCAACTGGCCTAAGCAAAGAATACAAAAGCAAACGAATTTTTAAGTTTTCTTACTTATATATAGGTCAAAGACAACTATTTCAATTTTCAACTGAATTCCAATCTGGAAAAGCGTCAAGTTGGACTGCTACGGCTTGGCAGATATGGCGTTGCTCGACCTCGCGGGCGGCGTCGATGCAATGTCAAACAGGTCATCACGAATTGGATACCAACGATGAAAGACTCTGAAGGCTAAGAACGAAAGATAGGCATCTATTTGGAGCGCAGGCTAAGTGGAAGTAAACCGTAGCATGGCGTCCACACGTATAGCGCTGCCACAACACTCGCGGTAGCCTGCGCTCCAAATAGATTCCTATCTTTCGTTCTTAGCCTTCAGAGTCTTTCATCATTGGTCCCCAATTCATGATGACCTGTTTGGCATTGCATTGACACCGCCTGCGAAGTCGAGCAACGCCATATCTGCCAAGCCCCTGCTACCATTCCATACACCGGGGAAGGAAGCCCGTGATCTTCTCTTCTAGCGGCATCATATCCATGGTGTTGTGCTTACGCCGTACCATATCTTCTTTTTCCTAGCGACTATTCTTCTCCTTCTTGACGCTTCACGTTCATCCTCCAACCTGGAGCAGGGACTGTTCGTCGCCGGCCATCTCCTACTCAGCTGCAGTCTCTCTCTTGCGTGCCTTGCTGCGGTCTCTCTACTGCCCGGGATGCGTACTCTATACTCCCTGAAGCACTCAAACAACATGAAATCCACCAAGAGAACATCGCTCGTGGACAGGCTAAGCTGTCAAACTATCGTCTACGAGGAGTGCAAGGCACTGACCGCAAAGTCAAACGTCTCCTTGAAAACTTGGAAGAATCTGACAACAAACATCAGGGCTATGCTCAGAAGGTGGAAGACATGCAAGCCATCATAGATAAACGAGGATGGAGACTACCACAGCAGGGAAGAGCAGTTAAAAGAGCAGCTGGAAGAATTTGAGCGGGAACATTGTGCTTCAGAAAGTACTGATGAGGCGGACCTCACTATGGATAATGATGACAACAATTTAGAGGCTGATCATCCATGGAGTCGTGACAACAAGCTGCACTTCCTCTTACACCACAAAGACGATTGAGGACGATTGCGGCTCGGTGTCACACGACTTCTCTTATTATTTGATTACTCTTATAAAGGAAAATGCGAGTCTCGTGTGATGCTGTCCCACAAGACCCATTTCCCTGTTGGGCCCGGGGCGACTGTGGGGGGCGCAGTTGCTCTCGGGGCTGTCGCGACTTTTTTTTTTTTTGCCTGCTATTTTGCTTGTGGGCCCGAAGGCTCCACACGCTATTTGCCATCGCAGTCGGCGCATGTTCGAACTCCACGCGCTATTTGCCAACGCAGTCGGCGCATGTTCGAACTCCACGCGCTATTTGCCAACGCAGTCGGCGCANTTCGAACTCCACGCGCTATTTGCCAACGCAGTCGGCGCATGTTCGAACTCCACGCGCTATTTGCCAACGCAGTCGGCGCATGTTCGAACTCCACGTGCTATTTGCCATCACAGCTATTTGCCATCACAGCTATTTGCCATCACAGTCAGCGCATGTTCGAATACAAGTACATAGCGTAGGGGCCCGTAGAGTCGTCACCTTTTTCTTTCCCAGCAGATCCAGTTTTTTTTTTTCCAGTAGATTCGTTAGTTCCCTTCCAGTAGAACAGAAGAAAAAAAAAGTGGCGGTGTATCTATGGATCTTTTAGCATTCTAACTTTGGGCCTCGCTGCACTACTCTCCACATGCACAAAAGACGAAAAAGATGGCAATGTATCTTTAGATCCTTAATCATTCTTTTTTTTTTTTTTTTAACAAACCATTCATTTGTTATTATCAAAACAATCGGAGAGAGGCTGGGGACCTCACAATTCAACCCGGAGTTATCTCGGCAGCATCAGCTGATTTAGCTTATCATTACTCCACTGATTCTTCCAAAACCCAGTCCTTCTCAAATCCACAGCAGAACACGACCTCTACAGCTCCTGTCCTCCGAAAAAGGTCTTTTCCCACTAACTTCCTGACCTCAATCAGACGCACGATTAGCTCACTTGCCTGTCTTACTTCTCCCCTACCTACCTGCTACTCTCGTAGCTAATTCCACCCTACTACCTGGCTGTTTCGGGAAGGCCTAACCCGGCCTGGTACCGGCCCACAGCGGTCGGTTGGAACTGACTCAGTTCCTGGTAACCGTGACACTCTACCACCCCCCACCCCAGTGTGACCTCCCCCGGTCCGGACCAGGAGCCGGCCCCGAACTGAGTGTACTGATTCGGGAAATACTACCCACCTACTCCTACCTACACTCTAGCCTTCTACTCAATACCAAATTGGCATCTGGGGTCGGGTGGGCCCCTCTGTCTTCCAGACACCAGGTTGGCTACTAAAAAACGACTGTGTCCTAATTGTCCCCGTGCTCTAACCACCTGCTGATGACCAAGCTCCCATCCATGGAGATTGATTCCAGCCGACCGCTGAGCGCCCAGGTGTTTCGGAACCAGGCAATCCCTTCTCGTCGCTTTCCCTGATCCGCCTTTCTAGTCCAGTCCGCCCAAATGGACTTGACCATCAACGATCTGAACAGTGCTTCCGCCTGTCTCTCTGGTAGCCGTTTCCCTTTAAACCTCAATCCCTTTCTGTCCAGCCAGATGACCCATAGCATCGCTGCCCTGGCGACTTGTGCCACGTAACCCCACCCTTCATAGCTACTTTGGGTCTGAGGGAGACCTTCAAGTAGAACCCATCTCTGATCCGTCAGCGAATCATCACCTGTTATCCACCGCCAGTATCTCTCCCACCAACCCCACCACTTCTTGGATTTCGGGCATTCCCACCAAAGGTGGCTCATAGTCTCCTGCGCCGCCTGACATCTGTCACATGTGGAGTTAACATCCATTCCTTTCTCTTAACCACTGCGATGTTGGGACTACCAAGTGGGACTGGAGCCACAATAGTGAAGCCAGTTTTTGCGATGGGAGTGCTTTCAATTGTGCCCACAATCTGGAGAGCTCTGAGTCCGAGGGAGGGATTAATCCTGGCGCCTCTCTCGCCCAACGGTTTGCTATCTTGGAGCACAGCGGGGCCGACAAGGATCTTCTTTTCAAGGTCAAGGACGTAGACAATTTCTCCAGCCCTCTGATTGTTTCACCTTCCACCTGCCAGCCCCAGCCTGCAGGGTTGATCCTCAGCTGGCAAAGCGGGGTCCCGTTGCCAACCGAGCATGGGACAGGGGGGAGGCCCTCCTGCGGAGGAGGTCTCATATTCACCCTGACTTCCTTGAGGTCTGAGAGACCTTACTTCAGCTGAATTCCATATCTCTCTAGCACAGGCTGGTTTCGAAGAACCCTTCTGTATGTTTCAAGCCAACATTTGCCTATTCCATCTGCTTTCCAGCTCTCCAACCTGCAGTACCAGACTGCATCCCCGTTATCCCATTCGTACCAGGTACCAGGAGGGTCCACACCCTCTGGACCCAGCAGGTGCTTCCACGGTTCAGGGATGGCTTCCAAAATAGCTTGCAAGTGCTCTTCTTCCAAGCCTGCAAGACCTCGCTCCAGAAACGTGATCTCGGGCGCTTGCAGGCGTATGTGTCTGTCATAATTGCCACCCAGACATCCGTTGGCCGAGACAGTTTCCAGTCACTAGCCAACAAAGCTTCTGCCATCAAAATTCAGTCTGCTTGCTCTTCAGCCGTACCTACCCGGATCACCCATTTGGCTAAAAGAGCTGTGTTCTGTGCTGCAGGATCGATCAGAGACAGACCGCCTTCTTCTCTCAGAGTGCAGATGGTTTCCCATGCCACTTTGGGGATAAACCCACGCTCCGGATCCCCTTCTGGTTTCCATATAAACTTTCTGGCCGCTTTCTTCACCGATCTGAGTGTTGGGGGGGTGATTCTTCTAACAGCTGCCACGTACCACAGAAGTGCGAATGCAGAAACTGTGATGGCCAGTGCCCTCCCAATGAGGGACAGATGTTGAGCTTTCCCCAGCTCTTGATCCTCTTGGAGACTTTTTCTTGCAGGATTAGTTCCTGGGAGGCGGTGCAATCACCCAGCGCCACCTGTACCCCCAAAAAACGTTCTGCAGCGTCGGCTTCAACTCTAGTCATCCCCCACTGTACCACCATTGGGCGATGTTTGGGGAGGAAGAACACAGGCTTGTTCCAATTCACCGCGGCTTCAGACAGGTCTGCAAGTCAGTCAAACATTTCTTCAGTGCAGCTAAAGAACAAGCATCGTTGGCTGAAATGGCGAAGAGGTCGTCCGCGAGGGCCTTCACTCGGCTCTCTCTCCCACTCGGTAAGCACATACCAACAATCTCCGGGTGCTTTCGAATGTTGCAGAGTAGCGGCTCGAGGTGAAGGACGAACAGCAGCTGAGCCAAAGGGCACCCTTGGCGCAGTGAACGGCTGAGTTGAAATTCTTCTGATATTTTCCCGTTTACGCAGACTGCTGCAGAGGAGAAGGCGTACAAAGTCTTTACCCATTGACAAAAGGCTTCCCCGAATCCCAGCCAGCGTAGGGTGGTCAGAACAAATGTCCAATGCACCCTATCGTAGGCTTTTTCAAGATCCAGCAGCAGAACTGCAGTGTTGATTTCTTGTTCCTCGATCAGTTCCAGCGCCACAATGGCTGTCACCACGTTCTCGAAGATTGACCGACCTCGCACGAACGCTCCCTGGTCCCGATGGACAATGCTGGGAAGGTAATTCGCAAGCCTGTT